TTTACAGTCACGTATAGACCTGGAGCGCAAAATATTGCTGACGCACTGTCCAGATTGACCATGAACACAAGCCCTAGTACCGATGATGCAGAAGAGTATATACGTTTTGTGGCAAAGAATGCAGTTCCAAATGCCATCACAATTCAAGAAGTGGAGAAAGAGTCAGACAAGGATCCAGAACTTTCCAAGGTTAGATCTTGTATATTGACTGATGATCAATGGGAATCGGTAGATGTAGCATATAGATCTGTCAGACAAGAACTTAGTGTTTTGGGAAAGTTAGTAATTCGTGGTACACGCCTAGTGATTCCGAAGATATTACAGAAGAAGGTCCTGAATTTGGCACATGAGGGACATCAAGGAATCGTTAAGACCAAACAGCGTTTAAGAAGTAAAGTTTGGTGGCCAAATATTGATAAGGAGGCAGAAAAACAATGTCGTACATGTCATGGATGTCAGGTGGTGCAATTACCTTCTCGTCCAGAACCAATGGTAAGAACACGTTTACCAGAATCTCCATGGGAAATAATTGCTTGTGATTTACTTGGTCCAATAAACAATAATATTTACATTCTAGCAATAATCGATTATTATAGTAGATGGATTGAAATAGATATTCTGAAATCTATTACATCGTCAAAGATTGTTCAGTCTTTAGATCGAATGTTTCTAACTCATGGATTACCATGTGAGTTAACGTCTGATAACGGTCCACAATTTGTGTCTTCTGAGTTTGAGGAGTTTTGTGAGAAGAATGGAATTTATCATCGCCGTATAACTCCATTATGGCCACAAGCAAATGCTGAAATCGAAAGACAGATGAGAAATCTAAACAAAGTAATTAAAATTTCTTATGCGCAAGGAGGAAATTTAGAGGAGGAACTTAACAAATTCCTAACAGCGTATCGTACAACACCTCATGGGACTACTGGAAAAGCCCCAGATGAGATGTTATTCAAGAGACGTCTTCGCACAAAGATACCTGAATTGGTTCCTTTTGATAAATGTGATGAAGAAGTACGTGATAGGGATGCAGTTCTCAAACAGAAAGGAAAGGAATATGCGGATGACAAGAAGAATGCAAAATATCCTGACCTCAAAGTTAATGATAAAGTTCTACTGCAGCAGCATAAAACGTGTAAGACAACAACTATGTATGAACATGATCCTTACGAGATTGTTGACGTGAATGGTTCACAAGTGACAATCAAATCAGGTGAAGGTGTTTGCTACAAACGCAATTCTTCACACGTTAGAAAATTTGAAGAATCAGATTTACCATCGGGAAATGAACATATTGACGAGTCGGAACATTTCAAAGAACCGGACACTAATGAACAAGTGATAGATAAATCGTTGGTCGTTGCTGAACCAAGACGTTCATCCAGAAGTACAAAAGGAAGAGCTCCAGAGAGACTTGATTTATGAAGAGGCATCGTAACGATAAGTACAAACAGTATATATTAGACATTAAGATTATTAATTAGAAGTTAAAAATAATTGTTCTAAAACATTGTCTTTTGCGAACAGTTAGACATACTTAACAGTTAGATACACTTAACATTTTTTATTATAAAAAAAATTAGAAGAAAAAAAGGGATATAGTGTTTAGAGATAATGTACAGTTAATATATGCATAATAGATTAGTATGGATAGTTAGGTATAAATATGGATCGTAGAAGTCGGCCATATTGATTATTGTACTTCAGTAACACATGTACAAGTTAGTAAGTTTTTCTGGTTGAAATATAAATCTCTTATAAGAAAGAGACACTAAAGTCTCTGAAATGGCATTTCCAGAGTTCTGAGAACAGAATTTGCAAAATCTTTGGCCATTTTGTGTGAATTACATTAATGTATTTTCAGTTTAATATATTTTCAAGTACACACTTTTCAATTTGCAAGGGCACATTCGCCTTTTACAAGGCACAAAGTGTGTACAAGGACACGCTATTTTCATGCCTGATTCCTGTGCTGTTCTGGAGTCAAGACATCTATTTAATGTGACATTCTATCAAAACAGGCATGCATGAATATATAGAAATATTTATTGGTTGCATTAGAATAACAATATAACTCATTATCTGTTAACCAACGTTTATCCATAAATCTGGTCGTTCACCGTCACGTGCGTATTGTATTTTTTGCCCAACTAACCAATAGCAATGTTTTAGGAAAGTTGCCTGGAACAATAAGGTGAATTGCTATTGGTGGATTGGCTATGGTTACCTAGGCCATTTTACACGACAAACTTAATTTTGCATAAAACTGCCCCATGCAACCTGCTTTTAATACAACTCGAGTGGTACTGTGTAAATCAAGCACACGGTGAACTCTACTGATTCAATATCCACTTACACTCTTTTCACCAAATTTTAATACCCGAGAGGAATTATTACTCTCGCCTATGGTTATCGCCCGGAACATATGTAAAATACCAAATGATACATCCAAAATGAAGCGGTTTGTATAGCTCGTAACTGAATAATTTAGACAGGAAATACGTGCAAGAAATATACAGTTAAAAAACATACAGTTTTAATTAGAAACTTAGATAATTACTCTCCTCTATTTACCTTTCTTTTGTGCTCATCCTTCGTATCTGCCATTAGAAAAGCAACCTTAAACTTGAAACGTGGCTTGATACCTGCTTGCTGTCAAACAATGTTCAGAATACAGTAAACACAGAAATTATATGACAGGACTGATTTCACACTTCAAAAGAAACTGTTAAAGATTGTTTGTTCGGAATCATTTGAGGAATGTTCATTCTTCCGGCAAATATACCATTTCGTACTAATTACTGTTTAGGAAGTTTTATTGCAAAATATTGAATGACTCATTGACTCAAAATTCAATCATCGCAAATTAGTAATATTTATTTAGTCTAATAACATTTAGTATAAACGGGACTAGCTAACAGTCGTGGGTCGTGGGTCGTGGGTAGAATGTCGTGGGTCGTGGGTAGAATGTCGTGGGTCGTGGGTAAAAAGTCGTGGGTCGTGGGTAAAAAGTCGTAAGTCGTGGGTAAAAAGGCGTGGGTCGTGGGTAAAAAGTCGTGGGTCGTGGGTAAAAAGTCGTGGGTCGTGGGTAAAAAGGCGTGGGTCGTGGGTAAAAAGGCGTGGGTCGTGGGTAAAAAGGCGTGGGTCGTGGGTAAAAAGGCGTGGGTCGTGGGTAAAAAGGCGTGGGTCGTGGGTAAAAAATCGTGGGTCCCGAATAAAAAGTCGTGGGTTCCAAGCAAAATATTTCCATATATTTACCTTTCTCCTTTGGAATGCGTGTTTTTTTTTCTTCTGAGGCTTTCCCAAACTATGCCCAAATATGCATAGCTTAGAGCGCGTTAAGGCTGGGTTTTTGATATCGGCAGATCGGTTTATGAATATTATAACCAAGTGTGGATGAAACAGTTCAATTTCACGCCCCATATAGCTCAAATATTTGGACGTTATAATCTTATAGACAGATAAATTAGTTACTGCAATTCTTCAATAAGAATATGGCTCAAGGCCACATGTACGAAAGCTGAGTAGCACTATCCCCTCGATATTATAGTCAAATTTTTATAACCGGCAATGGCATCATATGTTTTCAGAGCTATATATGGAACTGCGGAGTATAGCTAACCATTTAATTAATGAAATAATATGACATTTGACTTATATATGGTCTTCATGTATATACTATACAAAGAATTCGAAGATCGCCGGTCTGCAAAATAGTGATGCATCGATATCCATATCGGTAATTTTGTTGTTGATATTACCGACATCGTCGTAAACATTCAAACAACAACAACCAATGTTGCTGTTATTTAAAACTGCTGAAGTCTATCCTAAACGATTTCTGAAATATCGCAAACTACAAACGGAACAAACCTTGCATGTAAACAATGCTACTCCGGTTGTTATTAAATAAGCGCTGTGAAATTTCCAAATTCCAACTTGCCATTGACTTCGCTGAAACTTGATGCTCAAGAAATATGTAGAAGTATACCTCTCTGTTATCAAACCTACGGTAAAATAATCCGACAAAAGCCTACTGAAAGATAAGTCAAAGCATGAATGTTACAAAATACTGTATGCGTCACTATGTGACTGTATATTTGTAACTTATATGTTTGACATTAGAAAATACAAATCACATCATGATAGATTTGACCACGGATTTGACACTAGATTCACTACTTCTTGGTATGTATACATCATGGTATGTATTTAAGTGAAATCTCTCAAATGCTTTCTTTTATTTTTCCCTAGTAAATTAACAGACATTGCATTAAATTAACACTGTCCAAGTGGAAATTTCTCGCTTATTACTGTAAGAACATCTGAACATGGATCAACAAATTAGTGAAGCCCTGAATGTCAGAATTTAGCTATTTATGACAGGCTTGACAGCACTATTTCCTATTGAAGAATTACAATATTTATCTGTCTATAAGATTACAACGTCCAAATATTTGAGCTATATGGGGCTTGAAGTTGAACTGTTTCATCCACACTTGGTTATAATATTTATAAACCGATCTGCCGATATCAAAACCCGGCCTTAACGCGCTCTAAGCTATGCATATTTGGGCATAGTTTGGGAAAGCCTCAGTAGAAAAAAAAACACGCATTCCAAAGGGAGAAAGGTAAATATATGGAAATATTTTGCTTGGAACCCACGCCTTTTTATTCGGAACCCACGCCTTTTTATTCGGAACCCACGCCTTTTTACCCACGACCCACGCCTTTTTACCCACGACCCACGCCTTTTTACCTACGACCCACGCCTTTTTACCCACGACTTACGACTTTTTACCCACGACTTTTTACCCACGACCCACGACATTCTACCCACGACCCACGACATTCTACCCACGACCCACGACCCACGACTGTTAGCTAGTCCCGTATAAACCTACTAGTAGGCCAACCTTGTACCCAGGGCCTTTGCGCGGTTCAGAGGCTCTGGTACGGGAAGCAAAGGCCCTGGTAAACACTGGTCATGTGACTCCAAAAATATTGGACATTTCGTAATAATTTAGTTTTCAATCCGGGGGGAGCGGAGCCGATTGATTTTATCAAACATGGCAGCGCGAAGGCGTCGCGTTTTCGAGTTTTTATATTATTATGACAGAGGAGGTTGGACAGCAGGCCGCAAAGCATCATGGGTATTGAGCGCCTAATTCGACGCGTGGCTTCATTGACTGTTGACTGTCGAGGAGTGAACAGCTCTCTGACTAAACAAATATGGAAGCTTTCGAACGACAAGAGTGTCAGATACTCTGTGAAAACAGCATATTGCTGTATTGTTGCGATCCTCATTATGACTTGTGTTTTACTATAGCAAGTTTACCTTTTTTAAAATTGCATGGGACGTGTTGTCATT